GGCCGTCGCCGTGCTGCGCGTACCAAATGCGCTGCGGCTGGCCGGTCTTCGAGAAGCGGATTGCAATCGCCACCAGGTCCGCAATGTGGTTGCCACCAAAGGCGCTGGCATAGTTCTACAAACGACAAGGGTGGATTAGTTGAAACAGATTGAGAACATTTTACGAAAGGGGTGTGGGAGAGAGAGAGGGGAGGAGACAAAAGGAAGTACTTGAAGCCAGGGTACCACTTGGAATACTCACGTAAGGGTAGAAGAGCCAATACTGAATCTCCACAAACGAGTCTTTGTCGTCCGGTTTCGGATCGTAAATGATGGTGTACAGCTTCGTGCCTCCGTTCTTTGGGTTGCGCGCCGAGTCGCGCATCCAGTCGTCATCCTTGTCAAACTGATCCGGACTGTACAGGACAGTTGTGCCACGCTCGCTACTTGGATTCTTCAGCAATGTATCGAGGTTGTCGGGAGTGATCGGACCCGTTTGGTAATCAAGCTGATAAACTCTGCCATCCACAGTAAAAAAACCTTTGGAGGAAGCTACGTGTGTGAGGAACTCGTCGATCGTGATTGGCCAGATATCCTCGTCGGGGTGGAACCTGTACTGCGGCGAGTACTTGACGGCCACGTCCTCCCAGAACGGATCGCACGCGGGGTTTGTTTTTGGATCAAACATGCAGGGGTCCACCTTTCCAGCAGGCATGGGCGGGTTGGCGTAGCGAACCAGCGCGGTGAATTGCGTCTGGAACCACTGCCCAGCGCGGGGCGCGTTCGATAGGGCGTCCAGGCCCAGCGCGTCATTGGGGTCGCACTCGCGATCCACGGGAAAAATGCCCAGAATCTTTGTTCTGGGGAGATGAGAGGTTGGAGGAAGGAAGAGAGATGAGTGAAGGTGTACCGAGAAGCACAGCCAACCGTTTCAACATCTGATAAATGACCCGTTGGCAAAGAGGAAGGGACAAACCCACACGGAAAACAGTAGCAATACCCCGCAGGCACATAGGAGGGATTAGGAACTTACGAATGGCCATCGCTCTCCCCAGGCGGCTTGATCCAAACCAGAGCATCAACTGCGGGGCAGGCAAGAAAAAGGTGTGCGGGAAAGTGGAGGGAACCGCATGAGACCACCCAAGGGCCCCTCGGGAAACGCCATTCCGAAACAGGATCGCCAAGAAAAGAGAAGAGAAGAGAAGAGAAGAGAAGAGAACAAAAGCAGCAGCAAGAAAAAGCAAGGGTGCTCACCTTGCGGAGCATTAGCGGGATTCGCCTCGGGGCGCTGTCCAATTCCCGCGCCCTTCACGTTGCACCACGACCCCCAGCGGTTGCGGATGCCAGCGCGGCCGGACCTACTCGTATCCACGATCCACCTGGTCGGCAGTCCCGCGGCTCCCAGGTACGCATTCATGCGCGCCGTGAACCGGTTCTCGTCGATGCACGGGTTCCAGTCGTAGCACATCTCGCCCGTGCTCGGGTTCTTGGCGAGCGGGCACTTCTCCAAGGCGGGGCAGCCGGTCGCGAAGAGCGGGCTGTAGTTGGCCACGTTGGACGCGAAGCCGCGGATCTTGGCGTTCGCGCGGATCTGCCGCGCGCGCGCGAGGACCTTCCTGTACACCGCCACCACGCGCTTCATCCCCTCCGGCCACCCTGCTCACGCGACGGGGGAAGGTGTTGTGGGGAGAAGTGTGAAGTGATGAGTCAGGTTGAAAGTGGAGGAAGAAACGGCCGTACTGGAACGGAATAGATTACAGCATTGAAATGAATCACAGGCATACGCACTCACCGAGCCAGCCGCCGAAGCCGGAGTCGAGATAGAGCGTGGTGTCGGGGATCTGCGACAGCTTCGCGATGGCGTAGGCGACGCCCTCCGTGTACTCCTTGTCCGTCGTCGCGTCGCACCGATTCGTCCCCATGTTCGTCGCGATGTTGGGCAGCGAGTCGGGCTCGATCACGAGCGACAGACGCACGTTCGCCGCCTTGGTTTTGAGGCGCGCCACGGCAACATCGATGTACTTGGTCCTGTACGTGTCGAGGCCGCCCTTGGGAATCTCCCCGTTGGACGACCACGCCTTGCAGTCGCGGCCCGGGAGGTCGTAGATCACGAATTGCACGAGAATCGCCTTGCCGCCCGCCTGAGTCGCCGCGTCGCTCAGGTGGCCGGGGATGGAATCTAGGGCAGCCATCGTGTCGAGCCACACTGCCGTCGCATACTGCGCCACGCTCGCGAAAAACGGCGCATTCGAGGGAAGCGCGGCGCGCACCGCGGCATTCACGCTCGCCGCGTACCCCGGGTTGAGGTACTGCTGGACTGCCGTGTACGGGTTGCCGGTCGCGCTGTCGGTAACGCGGTAACCACACGACGTGCCAGTGGCGGGGACCAGCTCTGTCGCGTTGATGGCCCCCTTGAGCCAGCACGTGCCGCCGTTGAAAGCGCTCCACGTCCAATGCGTGCAATCCGCGCGGCTCAGGCACTGCTGTCCGCACGTCTCGCCCTTGCCGGCCGCTCGGCCTATGTCGTTGCCGACCCAGTCACAGTCGAGCGACCACTGCACTTTTCCGGCCTCGGAGATTGAGAAGTTGAATGCGGCTGACGCAGGTGTCGGATTGAGAGCCATCAGCACGACTAGTATCACCCATAATGCCAATGTAGTCGAAAGGAAATGCGCACCCGCCATCGTTCAGGCTGGTTGGTTGAAAGGAATGAATGAGTATGGCACCTCACGGCGAGACCGTCCCGTTCTAAGACCGCCAGATCCAAGCCGCACTGCGGCTCGGATCGCATCGGAGGCAAGATCGGACTGAGTTGTGTCCGTCATTCTGCTGTGCGGTCCGAGGGGTGTGCTATGACAATTATTGGTGACACCACGTCTGTAGTTTTAGTACCAATAATCGCAGGAACTACTTTCCGCCGTGAATCTCGTTCCCCCGGCGACGCATGGACCGGAGACGGTTGGCGACGCGGGACTCACGGCGGGAACGCGGCTGGGGCCATGTCGAACTACTCGCAGTGGAGGCAAGCTGCCAACCTTCGATTCAAATTGACACCAATAATTCTAGGAAAAAGTCGGCCAGAGTGGTTGTGTCTGGCAGGAATGTTTGGTGAGATGGCCAACAGAGGAAGGCACACCCAGGTTGGTGCGTGGTGGCGTGTGGCGCCATCCAAATGGGGAAGAAATAGGCAGTGTGGGAAGGGCCAGAGCGTGAGAGAGCAATAATTGAGGAATAAGACGGCCAGAGCGGCTGTGTCAGGAACGCTGGGTGAGACAGGCAAGGCAGCACAACAGCAAATCAGCGATGCGCGTTGGTGCTAGGTGCCCTGTGTGGCGCGAAATGTGGAAGTGTTTCCCGAGCAAATCTCGTTGGGGAGAAGATCTGTCGAAAAGTGTGGTTCAGCGGGTTTCAAAAATGGTTGATTACGGTTGTATTCGAGTGAATGCACTGTTTTGGAAAACAAAGCTCCAAATCTGTCCACACAGAGCATTGGCGAAGGAAGGTGCACAGGTTCCGGCGTATAACGCAGATTGTCATGTGAACAGAGATGGCGAGGGAGGACTAGCCTAGGGATGAGTTCGCGCAAGTTCGTCATATCATCGCTAGTGTTTCGTCGGGCAATTCACAGTTCCATGCACACACTGATGTATCGCACACACGTAGAATTCTGTAACGACAGATATTGCCAGTTTTCGCAAACCGTGTGCGATGTTCACATCGCATGCACCCTGATCACTGTCGCAACACCCTGCAGCAGGATAACTTTCACAAGCAGCAATCCATGGTGTCCTTTCCCTTAGACGAATCCCGGTAGAGTATTTCACTATTGTTCATGCTACGTCTAATAGCAGAGATGGTGTAATTCATACAACTAAGTTGTCTCGCAGTCAGGCCCATGCGGTTTCGATTTTTTCTCCGAACCCGCCAAGTGGCATTTTACTCGTCCCAAGAAACGTAGCTATCGCCCATCGTAACCCTACTGGTACGATCTCGAAGCAATCTCTTGCCGCCTCGACCGACCGTAACGGCAGTTCGGTCGTAGGCTTGAACCCCGAGTCGCTGCGCGCCGAGCTCGCGGGATGGCTGCAGGATCGGATCGTGCAGGCGGAGTCGCAATTCCGGAGCGGGCTGTCCGGCGCGCCATGGCACTCGCATGACTAGGCGGGGAGTGCCACGGCGCGGGGAACAAACAGTTTTGCCGGCGCTACCAACTCTACCGGCGTTGCCAGCAGCGGGTAAATTTAACGAGGCATTGGCACACTGAATGACTGTAACGAGTCAGCAGAGCGCGCTCCCCTCACCGTCAGCTACGCCAGGCACGGTGGCGTCTCCTCTCACCATCTGATTCGACTCAACAGCCTCTCCCCTTCCCGCCGCCTTTTCTCCCCGCTCCCTCCACCCCCATGCGCGCGCCATCAGCTGTGCCAGCTGTACCTCCCCTCGCCGCGTCACTCCGTTCCTCTCCGCCTGTTTTCTCCCCTGCTCCCCGCTCCACCCATCCCCATGCGCGCGCCATCAACTGTGTGCTAGGTGCGCGTGCGGGTGGGTTGCAGGTTGAGCGAGGAGCAGCGGCGGGCGGCATGGGAGGAGCAGCACGAGCGGGGCGCGGAAATGCAGGGCTTCTTTCTTAAGGTACTTGAATGCAGCATCAGTTGACATCTCCTCTTTGAAGTGAGTCTTGAGTCGACTCAGAGGTCGCCAGCCCGGGTGCGATGCAATCGGGTACCAGACGCCTCAAATCTCGGAAAATGGCTTCCAGGCATCGGTGTATGTGCTGCTCCCTTCCCTCATCCTGTGGCCCTCTTTTCCCCTCCCTGGGTTTGGCTTTATGCACGATGCAGCAGCCATGAACGTGTGAGACAGCTCAAGTCTCGGAAACAGCGCTCAAAGGCAAGGCACTACCGGGCGATACGAAGGGGAATGTGCTGCCCTCGTTCCTCATCCTGTCCCGTCCCTCGTCCCTGTGGTGCAGATCCGGTACGAGTTTGACTTTGAGCACGAGGCAGCAGCCATGGAGCGAATCAGACACGCACTGTCTCTGCCGAGGGCAAGATGGCAGGGTGAAGGCGGGAGAAGCAGGGGGGGATGCAGAGCAGAGCAGTCGGCGCAAAGGCAGATGCTGTGTGGGCGGTGGTGTTACCAGCAGCGCAGACCTGCAAAGGGGGGCAGGGCAGTAAAGGGGATTATAGCTGGGGAATGATGGGAGGAAGGGGGGGACGAGGTGTGGGGTCCACATGGGAGTGAAGACAATGCGAGGAGTGGAGAGGGGATGGATATTTGTGTGTCACCTGTCATCATACCAGCAGCCATATCAGGTATCGTCACCAGGTGGTAATGGTGCTGCCACTGCTGCCCCATACCTGCTTGATGTTTGTATAACTTTTCTCAACCTATTTCCCACTATCCCTTCCCTTCCCTGCTGCCTATTGCACCCCCCAACTCACCTCCAATGTTCCCTCCTTCTTGCTACTTCCCATGCCCATCTCCCTCTCTCCATGCCCTCTCTCCATGCCCTCTCTCCATGCCCTCTCTCCATGCCCTCTCTCCATGCCCTCTCTCCACGCGTGCCTTCCCTTCCCCAAGCCCTTTCCCCTCCTGTCAGTCCCAGGCGCATACTAGTCCTCAGATACCTTCCAGTGAGCAGAAGTGTTTGGGGTCTAGGCTAAAGCAAGTTGGAAAAACAGTGTAAAAAGTACACTAGCTAGCAGCCGAGAGTATGTGAAACTGGAGCTCTTCTCGTTCCCATGCCCTCCTTGCAGTCTGCTCTCCGCACGTCCTTCCCTTCCTCTCAGTCCCAGACGCCTACTGGAGATGGATTGATCAAACTCTCGCCCTTGTTGTTCTGAGCAGCGCCATTTTCTCCCCATTCCCTGTCCCTTTGTTCCCTGCCTCTTCGCCCTCTCCCGGTGCCCACTCTCCCCTTGTTGGCTGCTGCTGCACGAGCAGGGAGGTAGCGCAGCAAAGACGCTTTGTGCTTGGTCTGCGGAGTGGAAAGTGTCAGTCTGTGCAATCACCTGGGTTCCATGCACATTTGTGTTTGTAGGGCTGTATTCTTTCATATCTCCAATAAATACCGTAGTAGTACTGTTTGCAAACAGGATTGTCACACTCTGAAAAACACACTCTGCAACCTCACAAACCCAGATTCATGCCATACGCACCGGGCCCTCCACATCATTCTCCACTCCGTGACGCATCAACCTATACTAAGCCATGCCAAGCCATGTGCCACAAGAAGTGCCACTTCCTCATTCAATGACCAGAGGGCTCCCTACTCAACAACCCCCCTACCAAAACATAGCCTCCATCACACAACTCTCCCCCTCAGCGGGAGATGGGCTGCACCACGAGGGGAGAGCGCACACTGTGGCCCTGGTCATCAGACCACACTATAAACCCGTACTTGAAGTCATTACTGGGGGTATCCACCGTGAACGTCAGCGTGTAGGTGGCCTTCTCCCCAGGAGCAAGCGTGAGGCTCTTAGTAGACACAGTCACCTTCACCCCCTGCGGCGCCTTCCCAGATACGCTGTATGTGGACCGGGATTGCCCCACGTTGGTGACGGTGCGTGTGACCTGCAGGGAGCCCTGCAGGCGAGGCAGAGTGATGGTGGGCAGGTTGAGGTTCCGGACAGCCAGAGGGGAGAGCGCCACCCCTGGGAACTCCTTTTTCGCGCGGTTGAGGTCCTGCCCGGCCAGGAAGTTCTGGTAGTCGCGGTCGCGGGCGTCGTAAGTAAGCCCGGGGTCGAGCATGGCCGGGGGGAACACGTGGCCTGCGCCCATCTCCCACGGGGTGGCCTCCCTGCCCGTCGCACTCTTGATCGGGCTCTTGCTCGTGTCTGTCACCCGCGCCGTTGTCATCAGCGCTGACATCACCTGCGCCGGGGTCCAGTTGGGGTACTTCTGGATGATTAAAGTGGCTAGCCCGGCTAAATGCGGGGTGGCCATGGAAGTGCCCGACATGCGCGCGAGAGCGCCGGTTTCACCGGGTTTCTTCCCGGGAGCAGCGGCTACGAGGTCCACTCCGGGGCCGATGATGTCAGGCTTTAAGATGGCGTTGCCTGGCTTGGGCGGCTGGGCTGTGACGGAGGGCTGCAGCAGGGGGCCGCGGGAAGAGAAGTCAGCCACCACGGGGGCGGAGGAAGATGCAGTCGTGAACGTGATCCCGCCGTCTGCTGTCAGAACGGTGCTGCTGCCGTCCGTGCTGTTGCCATTGAAGTTGCCGCCTGTGCTGCCATCCGTGCCGCTGCTGCTGGTAGTGGCACCGAGAGCGAGCGACTGAGCGCCAGCCGTTGAGGAAGCGAGGGAGGCGCCTCCTCGGGCAATGGTGCTGGCGCCAACGGTGAGATAGAAGGGGGCGAAGTTGTCAAGCGTGCGGTAGAACCCTCCACGACCGGGCGGCCCGGCGTTGCCGGCAGCAAAGGCGACAAACACCCCGGCAGCATTGGCACGCATGAAAGCGAGGTCGTTGAAATAGTTGTCGTCGGGATTCACGCCGCCCAGAGACAGCGACAGCACATCCACACCGTCCGCCACGCCCTGATTGACGGCTGCGATGATGTCTGATTCCGTCGCGTACATGTCCCCGTTGCCGTCCGTCCAGAAGACCTTGTACGCCGCAATGCGCGCTGCCGGCGCCATGCCGCTCACCTGCCCGCCGCCCTGCACCTTCACTCGGTTCCCCGCGGCCGCCCCCGCGCACCACGTGCCATGGCCGTCCGCATCTCGCGGCGTGAGCCAGTCGTTGCTCAACACGGGCCGGCCGCTGCTCTGCTGGAAGCCGGCATAGAAGGCCTTGGCGCCGATCACCTTGTTGTTGCACCGGAACGAGCTCGACTGCTCGCACTTGCCCTTCCACCCCGCGGGCAGCTGCGAGGAGAGGCCCTTATCGCTGAAGGACGGGTGTTCGGGCCAGATACCCGTGTCCACGATCCCCACCACCGTGCCCTCACCCGCCTTGCTCTGCCCGCCCACTGCCGGCCACACCTTCCCGGGCAGCCCCAGGAACTGCGGCGAGTCGGTCGTCTGCCGGCGGAACACGCGGCTGGCGCGGACGGACGCCACGGCGGGGTTGCGCCGCAGCCGCCACAGCTGGCGCGGCGTGAGGCGCGCGGCGAAGCCGTTGGACGTGTGCTTGTAGCTGTAGAGCAGCCCGTCTTCGGGTACGCCCGCCTCAGATGCCACCTGCGCCTGCTGCCTCTGCAGCAGCCCCGCGAACGCCGCCACCTGGGGGCGGTCCATGCTCAGACTCAGCCGGTGTCGCGGGCACCCGCCGCCACCGTTACGACCGCCGTTACCGTTGCCGTTACCGCCGCGACCGCCGCGAGCGTTGGGAGTGGAGGCGGCGTCAGATGTGGCGTTTGGGGGTGGCGTGGGCACAGTTCCGTTTGAAAGGGGTGTCGTGTCGTCCAAATCGACGGATTCGTCGCCTGGGGCGGCGGCGGAATCGCCGACGGGGAGGATCATCTGCGGCACGGCGTCGCTGTCGCCCTCCTCGTCGCTGCCGTCGTCCCACGTGGCCGTCGCGGGGTAGCCCGCGATTCCGCCGCGGTATTCGGAGAGGGGAGGCGCGGTACTCAGGCGGACGATGTAGACCGCGGAGCTATCCGCTGCTGGCGTCGCGAATTTGCCGGAGTTTTCCCTGGAGGGAGCCGTGAGGAGCGCATCATTGTCGCCGCCGTTGCGCCATGCGCGGTTCAGGTTTCGCCAAACGGATTCGCGGCTTGCACTGGATGGCTGTGCCGCAAGGAGGAATGCGGCCAGAAGCAGTAGCATCGCAATCGCGGGACCGTCCCTCATGGCGATACTTAGCTTTCGGCGGGCAGGTTGCTTTGAACGGTGCCTGAAACCGTTGCCTGCAGACGTTTGTTGGCCTAAAACTAGCAGTAGTAGCAGAACAAGTAGAAGGAACGGATGTCGAATTTGCTTTGAATGCTGCTGGAAGACTTGAATTGTGATGGTGGTCCCACGGGTTGATGGTCCATTTTGTACTCACCGCTCTCATACGGAGTGGCACATTTGGGTGAGGTGGGGGCGTCGTCGCGCCGCAATGCACCTGCCTGGATGGTCAGAAATTGCACGTCTGAAGATATGGGGCAGGTGAGCGAATTCTCGGACTTGCCTGCGGCTTTGGTTGCACCATGCATGGTTCACCAGTTTTCGCGAAACATGACATGAGGTACATCAGAGCACTGTGTTACGGCCTGGGGCCTCTGGAAGTCGACCACGTTTTCGCACATACTTTCGCATCGCTCACACTTCTTCTGGTTACCCAGACCCAGTGCATATCCGTGACGGGCACTTGAAGCTTGGTCTTGTGCATTTCGGTACTATGCGTAGCAGCAATGCGGCGCGGGTCAGTCCGAGCGTGCATGAGACGGGAACAGACCCAGCGCATAGGAGTTTGTGGTTACCAGCACTTGCGTTTTCGCTGGGACCACCGGTCCCAGGGAGTTTCGTTCCAAAGAAAGTTCGAAGTGCTAGTTGCGTTGAAGCGGGTCTGTCATTGGTCATGCGAAAGTCGCAGAAGTCAACTAGCAGGGAGCAGGGAAGGCCGCAGGGACAGCTGGGAGGGATGGACATTAACAATCTGATCCTTTATTGGTTTTAGTTCGGTTATTGAACATTCACAGCACATCATTGGCTCACTAAAGTCAGTGACAGCTTTGGCCTATTGGGCTGTGGCTCGATAACCTCAATGTGCACAGTCAGTGTCCATTTCTTTGGATCAATAGTGAGTACAGTACACAACCTGATCATTTATTGGCTATAGTTTGGTTATTGGCCATTCGCATCATTGGCTCACTAACGTCAGTGACAGCTTGGGCCGATTGGGCTGCGGCTCAATAACCTCAATGTGCACAGTCACTATATCCAACACCTTAAATCGCCGCTTCCCGTCTTTCGACTCTACCGTCTGCGACTTCTCATCCACCACCCAGTCACTAGATGGTGCATTCCCATCGAGCTTGTTGGCAGCAGCAACTGCAGCAGCTTTCCCCTTGTGAGGTTCCTTGGGTACGAGATAGACTGGTCCCTTGATGCCATACCTAGAATTGAGCACAGAAAGGGAAAGTGCAGCACACAGGTTGTGCAGCAGGTGTGAGTTGTGCAAACACAGAACACAGAAAGCGTCGTTTTTGTACACAACATGAACACAGAAATTTTCGAGGGGAAAAAATAATAATGACAGAAAACAAATAAAAGGAGTGTTGCTTACTTGGGCACGAAGACGATCAGCCCATTGGAGCGGACCATCACTATCCGACCCTCCGCATCCGTTGGGCTGGCGAGAAAGTGATGAGAGGAGACGGACAGGTTAGAGAGAACAGCGGTAAGTACGTGAGAGAACGAGGGCGAAAGAAATAGACGAAATTTGCAAGACAAGAGACGTTCTGTGCACGAGAAGCATGGGAAGATGAATGCAGGAAGAAGAAGAAGGTGTGTAGGAAAGGTAGTAATGGTAAGAAGGACACGCTGACAGCTCACCGAGTGCGGAAGAATATGAGCGTGTGAAGCTCCACTGATGCTCGCCCCGCCATCTGAGCATTGCGGTTGCGGTAGTTGAGGTCTGGCACATTGTGACGGGAGTGTGGGGAGAGGGGTTGAGAAAAACGAGAAGTAGGGAGGAGTGAGGGAACCAGGCAAAGACAAGGAAGCGTGTCGCGATAGAGGGAGGCATGGGGTGAGGAGGAGGGGTAGAAGCAACAAGAGGGAGAGGAGAAGGTCAGCCTTCCAACATGTTTTTTGACACAGCTATCCAAAGGTCAGCACATTGGTCCGACTCTGACACATGACGACTTTTGCCATCAGTCACCTGGATCTTTCATGCAAAATCTGCATAAGCACATACTACGCAAATTGCTGGCTGCTGTTTCTATGTGCTGTCAATGCCTCGTGTTGTACTGACTCCATATCACAGAAGCGGGAATTTACTGGGAGGAAACCACACTAACGTTGTAATGAGAGAGACAACGGGAGTGTGGACAGAATTTCCTGCGGTGCTTACTGTCAGTGAGGGCGGTGAGTGCAGTCTTATCCTTGGTCTGATCCGGCAGCGGTGTCAACCCTATGGCTGCAGCCAGCAGGCGATGCACCACCACGTCTGGTTGGGCATGGATGAATTCACAGTCAGAGGGGAGTGGGGCGGCAGAGGACGGGGAGATTTTGAGGCGCCTTAAATGGCAGCAATGTCAATCCGATGGCTGCGATGCAGGCGATGTACCACCATGTCTGCCTGCATAGGCGTTGGCACATTCAAGAGGGTGGGCACAGTGCGAAAGTGGAAGGTTGATTTGCCCCATACAGGTGAGAGGAGCGGGGAGGATCGAGAGGAGGGGGAGGGAGAGGTGGCAAGAGCAGTGGAGATCCGACGATAGCAGGGGAGAAATGTGGAAGGGAGATGAGGGTAAGAGAGGTGAAGTTAGGGGAGAGGAAAGGACACGTGGCGCCACTTGCCACACCAGCGTAATAAAAGTGTTGTTTTGAGACGTCTCAAAACAACACTTTTGTCACGTGGAAAGGAAACGTGGCACCACTTGCCTTACCAGCGTAGCAGTGGAAGGAAGAGGTGAAGTGAGTGCATATGGGACCTGCCAGCTCGTGGTGGTGGTGGCACTTTGGAGGGCACTTTCTCTAACGCTCAAAGTGGAGGCGCCAAGTGTCTCACCAGCGTAGCGACGGATGGGGGAAGTGAAGTGGGTATAGATGGGGGCTGCGAGGCCGTAGTGGTGGTACTCTGCAGGGGCGAGCTGGCCGCTGGGAAAATACACCGCCTGGGGAAGCATGGGGGCATGGTGGGTTGGGGGGGGTTAAGGGGCAAAGACACGGATGGGGGAGGGGTGGGCTGTGTGTGTGAAAGTGAGAGAGCGGGGGCACTAATATGGGCTGCGAGGCTGCAGTGGTGGTACTCTGCAGGCGCCAGCTGACCGCTGGGGCAATACACGGCCTGGGGAAGCATGGGGAAAGGGGGAACATGGAAAGGCTGGAGGGAGGAGAAGTAAGTCGATTATCAAAAGGGGGAACATGAAAAGGTTGGAAGGGTCTTCAGCAATCTGCTCTGCACCCTAGCTAGCGTATGTTTTTTGAGAATTCTCAGCGTATGTTTTTTGAGAATTCTCAAAAAACATAGGTTGGAAGGGTCTTCAGCAATCTGCTCTGCATGCACCCTAGCTAGCCCCATGTGCGCACCTATGGTATTATCAAGCATGAGTGTTGGCTTTTACCTGAGTCATGCACGTGTGTAGCACATTTTCTTTCTCATGCCATGCATGCATGTCCCTTCACTGCACATCCTAGTGAGCTCGCACCTGAGTCATGCAGCGAGTGGTGAGGATGCGGGTGAGATTGTCGAAGCAGGGGCCAGGGCCCTGCGAGAACATAGAGGTGCATGCCTTGCATCCTTTCATGTCCCTTCACCAAATATCTCTGTCACCTCCCACCTGAGTCATGCAGCGAGTGGTGAGGATTCGGATAAGCTTGTTAAAGTAGGGGTCAGGGCCCTGTGAGGAGAGAGGAGCACACAACGGGATGAAGAGGAGGAGAAGAGTGGTTGAGAGCTGGTTGGTTGAAACGGCTCCACACAGGTCACAGCGGGGCGAGTGGTGAGGATACGGATGAGCTTGTTAAAGTAAGGGAGAGAGGAGCACACAGACCGGTCGAGAGAGGGAGAAGACTTTTGAGACGGCTCGACATAAGTCCCTGTAGAGAAAGTGAGGTTCGAGAATTGAGAGGAAAAGGTGAACGGTGCAGAGAGGGCAATGATGAGAGTAGCAATGACAACAGGGGGATCGGGATTTCTCATTACAAGCAATTCAGCTGCATGGTCAAGCGAGTCAAGCAGCTCACCACAGAGCGGTCAAGCAAGTCAAGCAGCTCACCACAGAGCGGTCAAGCGAGTCAAGCAGCTCACCACGGAGCGGTCAAGCGAGTCAAGCAGCTCACCACAGAGCGGTCAAGCGAGTCAAGCAGCTCACCACAGAGCGGTCAAGCGAGTCAAGCAGCTCACCACAGAGCGGTCAAGCGAGTCAAGCAGCTCACCACAGAGCGGTCAAGCGAGTCAAGCAGCTCACCACAGAGCGGTCAAGCGAGTCAAGCAGCTCACCACAGAGCAGTCAAGCGAGTCAAGCAGCTCACCACGGAGCGGTCAAGCGAGTCAAGCAGCTCACCACAGAGCGGTCAAGCGAGTCAAGCAGCTCACCTTCGAGCGGTCAAGCGAGTCAAGCAGCTCACCACAGAGCGGTCAAGCTCTGATTCGTGACGGTTCATTTGTTTTCCTTATTATTGTTTTCCTTAAGTACAGGTACTAACAACCAGTGTGATTCGTGTGTGGCAGCTCGACTACCCACTTGTGCACACGCAGATCGTGCGCACAACCTCTCTCATGGAGAACCGTTACATCGACTGTGGCGATGATTGCGGAGATTAACTCTACAACGGTAGTGAGCTAGACTACTGGGGTTGGCACAAACTACTAGAGGTGATCTTAGCTTTGCTTAGTTCCTTAGTGTTTGCACATTTACGGAAGGATTTGGCAAGAGTTTCCACTAGCAAAGTTGGAATTCCAGAATGATACAAGAAGCAATGACAACAATGACTACAGCAGGCACCTAGCAACCCTGCAGCTAGCCTGGTCGACCGCCAACGCAGCTCGGTCGACCGCCTGCCAGCATTGCGTAGAGGAGCCGCGCCAGCATTGCAGAAGGGTGACCTGCCAACAAAGCAGGTCGACGACGTGCCCCGTAGAACACAGCAGTGCGCGCGCTCGCAGGTGTGCGCAGACGATTGGCCCGACTTGCCTCGTTGGGCATCCGTCGGCTGTTGTCTGCGCCTGACGAGCCACATCGACTTCGGGATACCAGCCCGAAGTCGCCTGCGCCATCGCGATCTTGACGACGTTCGCGTGCCTCCGCAGAACTCGTCGAGCAGGTTACCCGGTCGACCTGGTCGACCCCTGGTGCTCTGGTCGACTCCCAGGTGCCTCCCGTCGACCACTGGGTCCCTCTGGTCGACCACCGGGCGCTCCTGGTCGACCACACCTCCCGTCAAGCTACCCCTTGGTCGACGGACCCCTTTTCGTCGACCAGAACTGCTCCGTCGACCTCCCGGTCGAACTGCAGTTCGACGGGATGCTCCGTTGTCCTCCCGGTCGAGCTGCAGTTCGACGGGACGCTCCGTTGACCTCCCGGTCGAGCTGCAGTTCGACGGGATGCTCCATAGACCTCCCCGTCGAACTGTAGGTCGACGGACTGCTTCGTCGACCTCCCGGACGGCTCACCCGTCGCCCAGGCCAGTCAGGTGCAGCTGTCGAGCACCCTGGTCGACAGCAACACCATAGCGGTCCGCTGCAGCTCGACGTAACCTGTCGAGCAGCTATCCCACTGTGAGCGGTCGGCTGCTACTCCCGTACATCCGACCAAGTTGTCGGCGTTGCCCAAGCGAGGGCGGGGCCAACACTCCATTCCCGTTAACACTCCCCTGCCGCGCTCACGCTTGGGCCTCCAGCCCTCACGGCAGTACTCCACGGAGAGAACTCGTCCTCGGCGTGCACCCCACACACAGCACGCCGTCACCGCACCAGCCGTGCAGAAGGGCACGGCACCTACTGCTGCGCCTCGTTGTCGCCGTCGCCGACGTCGACCAGACGAACTTGTCCGATGGCGACAGAGCACCGATTGAAAGCCGGAAAGTGCAGCGCCTTCGTCAGGAAATCCGCCGGCTGCTCGGTGGTCGGGATGTAGTTCAGCACAAATTTCCCGCGCCTCACCATGTGCTGCAGCCACGCGTAGCGTCGCTCCATGTGCTTGAGGTTGTCCGTCAGCCCCAAGCCCTCAACGACAGTGATTGCGGACTTGTTGTCGACGCGGAGGATGGTCGGCTTCCCAGCGTCGAGCAGCTTGAATTCCGCAAGGAGGAAGCGAAGTCTATGCCCCTCCTTGCCGGCATCCGTGGCCGCCACGTACTCCGACTCGGTCGATGATAATGTCGCGCACTTGATGCGCGAGCTCGACCAGGAGACGGCGGCCCCTCCGTAGACGAACACGTAGCCTCCCGTGCTCGTCCGGTTCTGCTTGTCGCCCGCGTCGTCGGCATCGACGTAGCCGATCAGCTCCAACGATTCTGGTCCACCGCCGAACTCCAGGGCGGTGTCGCGGGTGTCGGCGAGGAAGGCGAGGCAACGGTCGACCTCACGCCAATGCTGGTCGCTCCTCACCGTGGGGCCGCTCCCCAGCTTGCTGCAGGCGAACGCAATGTCCGGCCTCGTCGTCGTCGCCGCGAACTGTAGCGAGCCGACCTTCTGCCGGTACTCCTCCTCTTCGCGCTCCTGAGCCTCCTCGTTGTCGAACGTCAGCTGAGCGTAGGCGTCGACCGAGACCGGCGTCTTCGGGACTCGACCGCCCTGCTCCTCGTTGACGAAGCGCCTGCGCAGCTTGTCGGCGTAGCCCTGCTGGTGCAGCCACAACTTCCTGGCCGGCCTGTCGCGCATGATCTCCAGCCCAAGGTACTTCTCCACCGGCGAGATCTCACGCAGCTCGAAGGCGGCCTCCAGCAGCTCCTTCAGCTCCTTCAGCATCACGGTGCTGCAGCTAGCGGCGAGCAGGTCGTCGACGTAGACCAAGACCCAGGAGGTCACACCGTCGTCGCCGGTCTTGAAGTAGAGCGCCTCGTGGACCTGGCTCTTCTTCCAGCCAGCACCCAGCAGCACACCGTCGAGAGCCCTGTACCACAGCAGCGGCGACTGCTTCAGCCCGTAGAGGCTTTTCAGCAGCTTACACACCCGGCCGGTCCCGTCGTCGAAGTAGTCCGGCTGGTACATGTAGAGCACCCTGTCGAGCTTGCTCTGCAGGAAAGCGTTCTTCATGTCGAGCTGCATCAGGTTGAGGTCGAGGACGGTGACGATGCTGAGGAAGATCCTCAGCGTGACGTAGCTGCTCACCGGTGAGTACGTCTCGTCGTAGTCGGCGCCGTACACCTGCGTGAAGCCCTTTACGACCAGCCTCGCCTTCTCGCGCTCGACGGTGTCGTCGATGCGGTACTTGGTCGTCAGTACCCACCGGTTCTTCATGATGTTCACCCCGCGTGGGCGTTCGACCAGCTCCCAAGTCCCCATAGCGATGAGGCTACAGATTTCTTCTTCCATTGCGGCCTTCACCGCCTCGCCCTTCCAGCTCGACAGCGCCTCCTTCACCGTCATCGTGGCGATGTCCCAGCGGTGTTTGGGGTCGGCATGCACGTCGGGGTCGAGCTCCGGCAGGTCTTCATCCTCCTCGGCATCGTCGTACAGCAGGTCGTCGTCGACCTCGTCGTACACCGTGGTGAAGGCAGCTGGCGGTAGGCAGGCGTGGAAGCTCAACCGCTCCGGCGGCCGTCGGACTCGACCTGTGCGTCGCAGCTCAGGCTTCGTGATCGGCACATCCATCACGTCGCTGTCGGTGGACTCCTCAGCCGCCGACTGCTCCCCTTTCTCGTCGACGAGAACGTCATCGACCAGCTGCTTCGACCCTTCGCCCGGCTGTTCGTCTGCTGCTACCTTCGACAACTCTCCTGTCGGCCGCTCCGACTGCTGCTCCCCTGTCGAGTGTACCTCCGCCGTTGCCTCCTGTTCGACCGGCTCCCCTGTCTGGTCGACGAGCTTGGCGCCTTGTCGACCGCCGGCGATGCCATGGGCCGGCGCCACAGGCGACGCCTCAAGGCTCCCCTCATCGACGGTGGGCGACACAGGTGCTGACCCAGGCCGATCTGCGACGGGGAACGGAGGAGCAAAGACAGGGGAAGGGGAAAGAACCTCCACAACATCCTCATCACCGGGTCCGTCGACTTCGGCGAGCAACGGAACCGGCGCTGTCGATGTATCCGTTGGCGGGTGCGCCTGCGTCCGCTGCGACGCCGGCCCATACTTCGCCTTCCACACCTCCAGCGACAGCGTCTCGTAGAAGATCACCTCGACCGACGTGACCACCTTGTTGTCGGTCAGGTCGAGCACTTCCTAGCCCTTGCTTGCTGGCGACACACCCAGGTGAAGTCCCCAGCGAGCCTTCGGCGCCAGCTTCCCACCACGCTGCTGCTCGGGAACCATGAACTGCACCATGCAGCCCCACACCCGCGCCAGCGTAAGGTCGGGCTTCTGCCCGGTCAGCAGCTGGTACGGAGTCGTCCTCGGCGGCGTCGTCGACCGCTCCAAGCAGTTGCGCACCCAGACAGCTTGTCGTAGAGCCAGGTGCCACCAATGGTGCTGCACGCCCATGTGCAGCAACATCGTCCGCACGGACTCGACGGCCGTGCGCATCTCCCGCTCAGCCATGCCATTCTGCTGCGGAGTGTAGGGGCACGTCAGGTCATGGACGATGCCCTTCCTGTCGACGAAGTCGGTGAACGCCTTCCCGAGGAACTCCCTGCCTCGATCGGAGCGAAGCGACAGCACCGACCTCTTCGTCTGCCGTTCCACCAGCACCAGCCACCGCTCGAACTCCCGCAACACGTGGCTCTTCTTAGCGACCGGCATTGCCCATACAAATCTAGTATGGCGATCCTTCAGCAGCAAGAAGTACAAGCTGCCATCCTTGGCAGCCACCCGAAATGGCCCGCACAAGTCAATGTGCACGACAGCCAGCGCCTCCGCTGCATCCGAGCCCTTGGAGGGGAAGGTGTGCCGCGCCAGCTTTCCTCCGACGCACGAGACACATGGCGGGTCTGCTCCGGTTGACGACGTGATGTCGAGCCCAGTAGCAACATAGTGCTTCGCCGAGCTCTTGATCGTGTCGACGCTGACGTGGGCAAGCCGCGCATGCATCCTATCGGGGGTCG